GTACCTCCTCTACTCAAAACTCTCCAAAGTCTTCCTTTCTCACTCTGAACAAGGGCCAAATGACTTACAGTGACTTAGGAGGCCCTGCACGATCTGGCTCCCATGACCACACTCACCGCGCCTCCTCCTCCTCTCGCCCCCACCCATTTTGCTCCAACACGTTGGCCTCCTGGCAGTTCCTTGAACAAACCAGACTCTCCTGTCGCAAGGCCTTTGTAACCGTCATGCTCTCTGCTTGAAATGAGCTCTCTCCACGAAGTGCGTGGGTGTTGCCTCTTTTCATTCAGGACTTCACTCAAATATCTCCCTACAAGAGGAGCCTTCACAGAGCATCCCGTCTGAAATAGCAGGCTGCTTCTTGCCCTTACCTCGTTTTGTTTTTCCTTATAGCGCACAGCACATATTTGCTATGTTTATGCATTTGTTTACCATCTCTCTCTGCACTCCATAGTGGCGGCTCCGTGAGAGCCGAGGCTTCTTTGTCTTTGTATTTCCGTGGCAGGAAGGATACCATGCACATAAGGAAGTACTTAATAACTATAAGTGAATTAGTGAATGAATGATTTTGGAAATGACTACCAATCTGTCTTTAGGCCCCAGCCTTCCTTTCTAGGATCTTTCTTGAAGTTCTGGCTGCCAGCTAGACATGTTTTGCTGGGCATCCGTGGCTCTGCGAACTAAAGCTTCGTTAAAGCAGTTTCATTATCTCATGTATGTATTTGTCAATTTAAGGGCTGAGACTTTGTTTTGTTACTTTTGTCTTCTCACAGCCTGGAATAGTGGCTGGCATAGTATAGCAGACATTTAGAAGTTGTTGAGTGAATGAGTGAATGATTTCCTCCTCCAAACTAGTTCTCCCCGACTTGCTTCTCTCTCTTTGTGACATCGTAATTTTCCTAACTATGAAGGCTCAAAACTCCTGCCAGGTTTGATTCCCTTCTCTTCTCTTTTCTGTGTTCAATCAGTGGCCAAAACATGCCCTTTCTCCTACTTCATCGGTACTGATAAGATTACAGTTCTCATCACACACCTCAGATGTCACAACGGCCTCCCAATTGGCTTCTCTCATTTCTGTGTTTTCCTCTTTAATCCACCTCTATCAGGTTTTTCTATTACTCCCTCCCATAAAGTGCTCACATCACGTTATTTCCTCTGGCTGAGGCTTTCAAGGGGCCTTTGTACCAATCAGTGTTCCAAATTGCAAACACCATAAATGAACTCTGGTTCACTGAAGTAGAAGAGGAATTTACTGAAACGATAGCAGAAAGTTGCAGAATTGACAAGAGGCCTCAAGAAATAGTTCCTATTTCTTGGAACGAAGAGAAGCTAAGCAGCCAGAACCTCAGCCAGGTCCTGCCCCAGAAGCAGCCTGAGTAGGGGGACTGCTGCCCCGGGCTGTGGGGGCTGCCTCTCACACAACCGTCGCCACCCTCGGATCTGGCTCTTGCTGCCTCCAGGATGAATGATGAACAGTCCTGAGTGGGGTCATTGATTTGGCATACTTTGGAAGTCACAGTTCTGTGGCCTTCCTGCCGGGGGTCAAGGGAGCAAGTATCTGACCTCCCACTAAAATTTCCATTAAGGAGGATCTTCCAACATAGGAAGGAGGCTCAGATGCTGGACAGCTGATGATCCCGGTATGTACCCGAGGACAGGTTCTTGGGCATGTCATTGAAGTCCATCACCACCTGCCACAAATGATCATTCCCTTCTCCCTTGCATACCATGCTCCACTGAAACAGGACTACACGCAGTGCCCTAAGTCAATCCTTCCTGCCTCAGTCTCTGTAGCAGCTTATCTCCAAAGATCATTGAACCAAACTTCCTGATATTCACACCTATGTATCATCCACTTCCTTTGAATCTGGGCTGGACCTGTGATTTAGTTTCACTCACAGCATGCTGTGGAGGCGACGCTACATGACTTCCAAAGAGAGGTCATAAGTCTTGCAGCTTCAGCCTCAGCCTCTGAAAATGTTCACTCTGGGAAAAGCCAGCCACTGTGTATGAGGTCCATGTACCCTGAGACCACCTAAATATGAGGTGGTCTCATACCACGAGGAAACTAAGCGAGCCACATGGAAAGATTGTAAGGAGAGAGAAATGCCTGGCCTGTCCCCATCTGTTCCAGCCAATTTAGAGGTGGTGCCACACATGTGAGTTTAAAAGGCTGTCTTGCACATTCAGCCCGGTTGGCCTTCAGCTGACCCCAGCCCCAGCCTCCATCTGACCCCAAGTGAGGACTGCCAAGCTGAGTGGAGTCAGCCCATAGGACTGCGAGAGATGATAATAAATTGTTATTTTAAGCGACTAAATTTTGGAGTGGTTTGGTACACAGTAATAGAATACTGAAACAGCCCCTTTGTGGTGCAAGTTTGCTCTCTCTGGAATGGACCCCGCTGTCCCATCCTACCCACATACCCTCTCATATCTCCTCTTGTCGAAATCCCTCTGCTTAGCGTGGCCCAGGGCAGAGGAAAGAGGCAGACTCTGGGGTCAGGCTGTGGAATGGGAGGGGTTGAATCCTAATTTAGTCTCTCACTATCCCTGCGACTTTGGACAACGTAATTTCTCTGAGCATCAGTTTCTGTATCTGCCATATGGAAATAAGACCCCTATCTCCTGGAGTTGTCTTGCGGAGTATATGTAAAATATCTATGCACCTGGTCCATTTTAGTCGCACTGAGTCAGTGGCCTTTAGGAGATACCCAACGTTCTAGACCTTAGCCGGGGCTCCAAGGTCTAATTCTTATCAGATATGAACTATATGGTTTTGGACAAAGTCCTTACACATCTGAGCCTTTCCCTCCTCGCTGGTAGCATGGGTTTAATAGTAATGTCTGTGTGTTGGGGCTTCTTGGCTGGGCTAAGGACTGGGTTGTCTCATGACGCTAGGCAACACTGCCCCCTTGAGGCAGCATGCTCAGATCCCTTAAACCTGCGTGGCCTCAGGTGTCCTTCTGAAGAGGATGAAAACCATGCCCACAGTTGGTGGAGGCCAAACTGCAGGGAGGAACAGCGGAGGCCCTGCGAGTTCACCCCACAGAGTGAGGAAGAGTTTTCCATGGAAGGGGAAGGGGTACACAGAACAGAACAAGGGGAGGAAAGGTGTGAGGCTGGGTATGACCATCTTGTGGCTCGGCATCCCCATCCCCTCCTCTGCCAGGGCCTTATTTCATTTCTTCCTCCACTCATTCACTCATCCACTTGTGGTTTATAATAGTACCTCCTACACATTGTAGGCTGTACCACATGTAAGGGGATAAAAGGATTAGCAGTAGCTTACATTTATTGGGTGCTTATTTTGGAGTAGGCACCAAACACCCATACAAAGCTTACAGGGTAACTGGGGGCACATACCTGTACCATGGAAAACCTTATGAAAGAGCTGAGGATAAGAAATAGAAGATGCTTTCCTACCTCAGAGAAAGAGAGGCATGCCAGGGGCCCATGAGCCAGTGGCCAGAGAGGCCAGCCATGATGGTGAGATGGGTGGCATTTGGCAGATAGCTCTGACCACGTAGGAGGCCACCCCACTGGGTTTCTTTTGGACTCACACTGAAGTGAGGAGACAGAGAAATCTGGGCAGTTACAGAAGAGCGCATGCTGTATGATGCCAGTTGCATCCTGTGCAAAAATAGGCAAACCCAATTCATACTGTCTGCACAGTATGAATTCATGCAGACTAGTGGTTACCCCTGCAAGGGAAACAGTGACTAGAAGGAAACATAAGGGGGATTCTGGAGGCTTGCAATGTTTTGCTTCTTCATTTGGGCACTGGTTACCCCAGTGTGTTCATTTTATAAAAACTTAAGTACATTTGAGGTGTGTGCACTTTTCTGCATGTTGCTTCAATAACAAGTTCATACACACACACACACACACACACACACACACACACACACCTGTTTGAGAAATGGGGCTGATTAGTCATTTCCCACTTCAAGCCCTTTGAGGTGTCACCACATCAGGGAAGGGGGTAAAAGATTAAAGGGTTGGAGGCAAGGACCACCCAGTGTCAGGCCAGACTTATTTTCATCTCTCCCTTCATTCATTTACTCATTCATTTATGGTTTATAACAGCACCTCCTACACAGTGAACACTGTACAGCATGTAAGGGGATAAAGAGATTAGTTTCCATTTAAGGGGTGTTTATTTTGGAATAGGCACAGAACACACATCCAATGCTCAACAATGATCCCAGGAAGTTTTAGGTAAAGGAAGTTGCTCAAGGTCACAGAGCATAGAAAGTGTCTGGATTTTCATTTGAACCTGAGCCTGTGTGAATCCAAAACTGGGACACCTTTCACTGAACTACACTGTCCTCCAGGAACCTAGGGGTTGGCGGGATGTGTTAACAAATTGCTCCACCACAGCAGTGAGGCCTTGGAGCTGGAGTCCAGGCCGTCTGGGCTTGAATTTCGGTCCCATCCTTTCTGTGGCCCGGTTAGACTCCTTCGCTTTTTGATCCTGTTTCTTCACCTGTATAACGAGGGTTAAAAACCACACCTTTCTCTCAGGGTTATTGTGGGGATTAAAGGCCTATGTCTGGCTCCCAGTGGACGCCTAGAACAGGCGGTCGTTGGCCTCTGAGTCCTTATCACCCCCACAGAGCAGAACTTCGCGGGGGCCGTGGTCGGGCATGCACACGGGGTTGAAAGCAGTTCCCGGGCCTTTGGCTTCTGATCTGAACCATAGGGCCCAGTGAACTTAAATGAGCCGGTGGGCCTTTAACGCCCCCCCCCCCTTCGTGATGCTAGGAAGTGGGCCGGACGAAAAGCTCCGGTCCCCATCACCACCCGGAGCAACAGGCACCACTGCAAGCGTACCCTCGGGTACCGTTTTCCCGGGTGAGCTCGGTGCGGCGAGAAGCCGCGTTGTCGCGAGACCTGGCAGGACCAATGGGCTTCCAGACCGGAAGTGAGGGGCGGGCGCGAGGGAGCGCGCCCCGTTTGAAACCCCAGGCGTAGGCCTGCGGAGGAGAAGGGTGGGTTGGAGGTTGTTGAACCTTCTGGGAGTAGAGCCGGGGCCGCAGGAGGAGGAAGAAGCTGGCTTAGCGGAGACCTCTGCATGAGGTTTGGTTGGCAGCGGCCACGAATTCATTCACAGGGCAGCTACTACGGGTAGGCCACGCGCCGTGAGCCAGATTTGCGGGGTACTCTGTGCTTCCGCCAGGTCCGCTGCGCTTTCCTCCAAACACGAGTAACAGTCCCCTGCTTTGGCTGAGCCTTTTAATGAGCCCTTGTGGCCGCGGCGGGGATTTGCCCCGAAGCCTGAAAAATTTCACCTTCTGGGCCCTGTCTTGCCCAGGTCCCCTCTATGGCATGAAAGAGGCCCTACGATCACGTTTTTATAGAATTTGCCAAACTAAGATATTTTAATTTCTGTTAAGACCACTGTCTTTCCACTGAGACTTTCCTGTCTGGGGGCATTAAAGTGGCTGTGGGTTCTTTCAGGCATTTTGGAATAGGGAATACTCTTAATTTCAGTGCGATCTATCTACTTACCTACCTGCCTACCTATCTACCTATCTACCAAACTGGGTACCTATGTAAGTTATCCCCAGCCTGCTCGGTGAAGGAGTGGCTTCCACGAATGCTCCTCTGCTGAAATACACGCGTGGTGACCTGAAAGTGCCAGAAGTCTTTTGGCATGTCCAGCACCAGCAAAGTGAGGAGATACAAAGTATTAATTACTGCACGAGACATGGGGAATTCCTTGAAATCTTGTAGCTCACAAAGAAAAGAAGCTTAATAGAGATTTGCCCAAATTTGACAACCAGCTTAAAGTAATGAATTAGGAAGCTGTAAGAACCTTCTCTAAACTAGCAGTAATAAAGAGCAAATGTTAATTGACCAACAAGAGAGGAAAGACTGATTTATCCTCCTGTTCTCTCCATAGAAAAAACACAAAATTGTCGTCTTGGAGGAAGTCATTAAAGAATATGCAGGCAAAAGTAGTAAAAAAGAAAAAAAAAGTGTATAGGCCAAGCAGTTAATTTAACAAATATATTATTTAAATTTTTTTGTGATTTATTTGGTATTTTATGAACTTAAAAGTTTGTAGTTTGATGTGATTTCTCATTATAAATATACATTCACATTTATACCTAATTTTTATAAAGCTTTTATTTATTTTCAGAGAGAGGGGAAGGGAGGGAGAGAAAGAAAAAAACAATGTGTGGGAGAAACCTCATTCAGTTGCCTCGCACACGCCCTCATCAGGAGACCTGGCCCGGAACCCAGGCCTGTGCCCCGGCAGGGCAGTGAACTGGTGAGCTTTCTGTTCACAGGCCGGCACTCAGACCACTGAGCCGCACCAGCTGGGGCTCGTTTGTGCCTAATTTTGTGTGTGTAATTTTGTACTTTTCTTAAAGGGGTCCCGTGAAATAATATAATCTAGATCTCCTTATATGGCTGACCTCTCCTTCTGACCACTCGGATCAGGGCAGGACACGTGCTTATTCTCTTAATTTTTGAGATGTGGGGAGGGAAGCCCAGAGGGGTCAAGTTAATTGCCCAAGGTGTTGCTCCTGTGGCTGGCAGAACTAGAACTAGGACCTAGTCCTTTTTGTTCTCAATTCAGGTACCTGGTCATCCCCAGGAGCAAGTGCCCTATTCCAAAATCTTTCACCGTCGGTCTTCAGTGAATGGGGCATGACTGTGTTTACTGGTCTGCCTTTGGGATCTGGGTTGTAAATGGTCCAGCTGAGAGGCCCAGTAAAGCTAAAAGGGAACAAATTGTGTTTCTGAACTGCCCCCAAATCTCAGAGGATGGCAGCCTTCTCTGTGTCCTCCCACCGGCCCCTTGTAGTGATGAAAGAGGGACAGCATCTGGTGGGAGAGAAAGGCCGAAGGGCTGGCTGGAGGGCTGGCGGAAGAACTGCAGCAAGGACTCCTCCCTGTGTGTCAGGTAAGCGTGGAGCCCTCGCAGAGAGACAGAATCGACTGGTGAACCAGCTGTGTGTGAATATGCATGCGAACATGTCTTTTGTTATTTTTTAAGCCAAGTATATTTTTGGTTGGTTTCCCTGGAGACTTGAGACTACGGAGAGGCCTTACCAAATGTAGTTTAATTTTTCCAGCTCTGCTTCCTTTCCAAGTCCCAAAATTAGCCACCCCCGTTTCTCCACCTAGACTGATTTTGTGTAAGGTCACTAAACTTTGCTGTTAATCCAACTTTTCAGTCCTTACCTTATTTGACTCTCCCCTGCTACAGGTATTCTTTTTATTTATTTTTTAAAGTTGTATTTGTTAATTTTTAGAGAGAGGGGAAGGGAGGGAGAAAGAGGGAGAAAAGCATTGATCAGTTGCCTCTCCTACAGGGAACTGGGCAACCTGGGCATGTGTCCTGACCTTGACCTTCCCCTTTGTGGGAGGACTGCCCAACCAAGGGAGCCACAGAGGTCAGGGCTACAGGTTTTCTTTTTACATGTAAATCTTATCCACCTCCCTTTGAAATTCTTCTGTAGCTCCCCATTGCTTTTAGGTTTAAGATCCAAATCTGACCTGTCTGGCCAGGCCCAGTCTTCTCCAGGTCATCCCAGGCACACACTGACCTTTCATTTTGCCAGTGAGCCGTGCTCTCTTCCTGAACACAGGGCTTTTGCACATGTTGTTTCTCCACCCATTACATATCAATATATATGAAATATATATATTGTTTTATTTATACTAATGTATTTATGTTTATATATTGGCACTAGTGTGTGTATATGATGGTGGCCCCCCCCCAAACCAAAATTATCTTCTGGAAGGTGGGTCCCTTGTAGCACAGGCTTCCCCCACTAGGTGAGTATTCTAGGAATGCATCTGTAGCAGTGTGCCAGCTGGCATTGTTGTGAGAGGCTGCATTTGGCTTCAGTGAATTTTTTTGAAGACTTTAACAAGTTTGCCCATTTCATAATTTACAAGGGCACCTGCCCACACTGCACTGAGTGTTCATCAGTTTTTGACCAAAAACGGAGTGACCCCTCGCCCCATCCTGCCTATTAACCCAATCTTGCCCTGAGTGACTTTATCTTTTTGTTTCCCTGATGAAAGACATTCTCAAAGGGAAACATTTCGGCTGTGTGGAAGAGGTGAAACAAAAAATGGCAGAAACACTAAAAGGAATCAAAATTGATGAGTTCAAAAACTGTTTTGAGCAGTGGGAAAAAAGTCTCGATAGGTGTGTTTCATCTCATGGAGAGTACTTTGAAGGTGACTGAAGTTTAAACATGTAAAAGTAAATACAGACCTGGCTGGTGTGGCTCAGTGGATTGAGCACTGGCCTGTGAACCAAAGGGTTGCCGGTTCAATTCCCAGTCAGGGCACATACCTGGGTTGCGGACCAGGTCCCCAGTTGGGGGCATGCAAGAGGCAACCACACATTGAAGTTTCTTTCCCTCTCTATCTCTCTCCCTTCCCTTCTCTCTAAAGATAAATATATAAAATCCTTAAAAAAGAATAAATACAAAAATTTTAATAAATAAATTCCAGTTTTTTGGGCCCCCCATATATATTCTTTTACACACACACACACACACACACACACACACACACACTATTTTACCAATATCTGCTATATTCCTGACATTGTATTGTTGCTAGAGATACAACAGCAAACGAAGCAAGCAAAAATTGCTGCCCTTCTGGAGGTCACCTTCTGGTGACTGTTTTTTGCTGCAATGGTCTTCCCGTTTCCCCTTTTTTCCCCATGGTAAGGAGTTTATTTATTTAAAAAAATTTTTTTAAAGATTTTATGTATTTATTTTTAAAGAATGGGGAAGAGATGGAAACATCTATGTGTGAGAGGTACATTCATCGGTTGCCTCTTGCATGCCCCCTACTGGGGACCTGGCCCACAACCCAGGCATGTGCCCTGGTTGGGAATCGAACCAGCAACCTTTTGGTTTGCCGGCCGACACTCAACCCACTGAGCCACACCAGCCAGGGCCCTATTTATTTATTTTTTTAAAATAACAGCTTTATTGAGATACAGTTCCTGTACCATGAAATTTGCGCATTTAAAGTGTACATTTCAGTTCACTATATGCAGAGTTGTGCCACCATCACAGCGATTTTAGAACATTTTCATCCACCCAGAAAGAAGCTGTGTACTCATCAGTAGTTACTCCTCCTCCTCCCTGCAGATCTCCCCAGCCCTAGGCAACCAGTCTACTTTCTGTCTCTGTGTTTGCAAATTCTGGCTGTCTCATATAAATGGAACCATACACTATGTGGTCTTTGGTGACTGACTTCTTCACTTAGCCTAACATTTTCGAGGTTCATCCATGCTGCCTGCTGAGGCATGTACTGTATTTCCTTTCATCTTTTTTTTCTAATTGAGATTTAATTGACATATAACATTGTGTAAGTTTAAGTACTTTATTTCTTTTCATTACCAAAGAGTAACATTCCATGGTATAATACATCACGTTTTGTATCCACTCATCAACTGAAGGACATTTGGGTTGTTTCTGCCTTTTGATGATTATGAATAATGCTGCTATGAATATGTGTTTATAATTTTTTTGTACAAACATGTTTTTATTTTCTTGAGTATATACCTAGGAGTGGAATTGCTAGATCACATGGTAACTCTATGTTTAACCTTCTGACAAACTACTGGACTGTCTTTTCAAAGTGGCTGCCCCGTTTTGCGTTCCCCCAGCACTGTATGGGGGTTCCAGTTTCTGCACATCCTTGCTGTTACGGGTGGAGTTGTGTGCCTCCAAAACTCTCGCTGAAGTCAGAGCCCCAAGTCTCTCATAATGTAAACTGATTTGGAAATAAGGTCCTTGCAGATGTAAGTAGTTAAGATGAGGTCATTTTGGAGTAGGTTGGCCCCTTGATCCAGTGTGACTGGCGTGCTTTATGAAAAGAGGCAATCTAGGCACCGAGACTCACACTCGGGGAGAGCACTGTGGGAAGACTGGAGTCACGCTGCCGCAGGCGCAGGAACTACCAGAAGCTAGGAGACAGGCTTGGAGCAGATTCTTCCCAGCACCTCTGGAGAGAGCATGGCCCTGCTGACACTTTGATCCGAGACGTCTGGCCTCGTAAAAACGAGACAACAGGCTCAAAATGGAGTCCCTTGTGCTAAGCCCCGAGTCACCAAACCGAGTCTTAATTAGTGTTGGCTGCCCCAGAAATGGAATCTCAAACCAGACAACCAGGAACCACCTGATAGGCACCAGTTAGGTGGCCTGTCTCATAGGCCCCTGCCGCCCTGAAGGAACGTGAACTGGAGCAACCAGCCCGCTTTTTGCCCAGTGTAACTTTCTCACTTCCACCTACAAAGGTGTTATATAGATCCTGGGAGGGTCTCTCCACCTGCCAGATTGATGCTGCCCAATTCAAATCAATGTTTGCTCAAATAAACTCTTGAAATTTAAAAAATATGCCTCAGTTTATCTTTAAAACCTCCAAAACTGTGAGACAATAGATTTCTGTTGTTTAAGCCACCTGGTTTATGGCACTTTGTTGGGGCAGCTTTAGCAAACTAGTATACTCACAAATACTTGTTACTTTCCATTTAAAAAGTATTATTATAACCATCGTTTTTGGGTGTCAAGCGGTACCTCACTTTGCTTTTGATTTGCATGTCCTTAATGCAAACGGTTTTGAGCACACTTCCACGTGCTTATTAGCCATTGGTGTATCTTATTTGGCTAAGGGTCTATTCAAGCCCTCTGTTCATTTTTAATTGGGTTATTTGCTTTTTTATTATTAAGTCTTTGCAGTTCTTAATATATTCTAGATAGAAGTCCCTTATCAGATATATATGAATATTTCACAGATTTTTTTTAAGGATTTTTACTTATTTATTTTTAGAGAGAGAGAAAGGGAGAGAAACACTGATGTGAGAGAAGCATTGATCGGTTGCTTCTCATGTGTGCCCCGACCAGAATTAAACCCGCACCCCAAACATGTGCCCGGACCAGCGATCTTTTGTTTTGTGGGATGATGCCCAGCCAACTAAGCCACACCGGTCAGGGCTTACAGCTAACGATTTTCAAGTCTGTGTCCTACGTAGAAGGCTCCCCTAAGCTACAGTCCTGCACATCCGACCGAAAGAATGTGTATGTTGGTGTTGTTGAGAGGAGGGTTCTGTAAGTGTCAGTTAGGTCAAGTTGGTTAATAATCTTACTCATCTTTACAGCAAGCAAGAAAAAAACAAAAACCAAAACCAGCTGCACTCTAGCTGTTTCTTCCGATCAGAGATACCCATTCATTCAAAACGTATTGTCTCCCAGGCACTGTTCCAGGCATTGAGAGTATAGCAAAGAACAGAACAGAGTCCAGGAGAAGGGGAAAGTCCAGAGACATAACAAAGAAAGAAATATTCAGGAGTGTCTGCAGTTTTGAAGCCCTGGTCAGTACCAACAGAAAAGGAAAAGGGAAGCAGTGTCACCCTTGCCACTGGCTGCTGTGAAACGGTGTGTGCCCTCGCCTAGTTTCACTTCAGCAAGGCTTTCCCGTGACCCTCTTCTGCGCCAGGCGCCACACGTGGAGGTGCTGGCCCAGAGACGAGGAGGATGAGGCTTCTCTCCTTGAGCGCAGTGTGGGAGAGGGGCGGGTAGGCAGGTAATTATTTTACAGGGGAATCGTGCGATGAAGAAGGGGTGGACAACATTCTGTAGAGCAGAGAAGAGTGGCTAACTAATTCTGCCTCGGAGTGTCAGATAGTGTTTGATGGAGGAGAAGACATTTCAAGTGGTTCTGAGAGAGGACCAGGAGATGACCAGCTGGAGAGGGGTAGAAAAGACATCTAGTCGTTTGTGGGTGGAATGGCCGAGTTACAAACACTGTCTAAGTTCTGAAACAGGACTGCTCGAGACAGCCCGGCACCCTCAGACGGCGGTGGGTGGGAGAGCCCACAGGAGAGGGATTTATTGGAAAGGGGGGTTGAGGCTACCAGTTACAATGGCTGACCCGATATGTAGCCCACCCACTGTAGAAACCGTGCAGACATCTGCTGTAGTTTTTCCACTTTTAAGTGTCAAGAAGACTTGTACCCATTTGGGGAAGGGGTGTAAATTGATACAACCTGTAAGGAAGGCAGATTGACAATGGCTATCAAAACTATAAATGCTACAAATATTTTGTGACCCAGCAGTTTCACTTCTAGGAATTTGTCCTAGAAGATGCACTTACTCATATGTGAAATAAGCTATGTACATGTATCTATCACATCATTAAAATAGCAAAAGACTGGAAATAAATTAAATGTTCATTAAGAGGGGATTGGTTAAGTAAATTGTGGTATCTCTTTAAAATATGACATTCAGTCTAAAAAGAAAATAAAGAATAAGGTACCTCTCTATGTCCTGTTCAGAATGATGTATTGTCACATGAAAAAAGTAAGGGGCTGAAGCATTTGTGTAAAATGAGGATGGAAAGAGTTCAAGTCCTCTATGGAGTATTCCAATGGCTGAATTAAAGAACTGTGGGCTGTCCGGCTGCTGTGGCTCAGGGGACTGAGCACCAGACTGCGAACCAAATGGTTGCTGGTTTGATTCCCAGTCCGGGCACATGCCTGGGTTGTGGGCCAGGTCCCCATTGGGGGTGTGCAAAAGACAACCACACGTTGATGTTTCTCTCCTTCTCTTTCTCCCTTTGTCTAAAAAGAAATAAATAAAATCTTAAAAAAAAAAAGGACCCTGGGCTGCCTTGCTTCTGGACTTTTTTTTTTTTTTTAAAGATTTTACCCATTCATCTCTAGAGAGGGAAGGGAGGGAGATAGAGAGAGAGAGAGAGAGAGAAACATCAATGTGTGGTTGCTAGGGGTTATGGCCTGCAACCCAGGCATGTACCCTGGCTGGGAATCGAACCCGGGATACTTTGGTTCCCAGCCCGCGCTCAATCCACTGAGCTACACCAGCCAGGGCTTTGGACTTCTTGTGATGTGTGATAAGTGTGACAACTCCTTATTGTTCAAGCTAGCTGAGAAGCGAGTCTTTTGTGACTTGTAGCCAAAAGCATCCAAATACGTAAGTCTACGGAAGTCCCTGTGTTTGGGCCTGGAATACGCAGAATGGGGGAGTTAAATCTTCGACTTGCAGAAAGTCTCCAGTTTACCCCATTTTAACTCTGTTGGGCACTCCCAAAGGCATCCCCTTTCTGGGTATTCTGAGCTCTGGACCTCAGAGCAGCTGGCCACCCACATGTTATAGCCATGGGAGTTTCTGTGCAGAGATGCAACCTGGCAGAATTCAACCTGCCTGGCTTTTTTTTTTTTTTAAGATTTTATTTATTTATCTTTAGAGGGAGGGAAAGGGAGGGTGAGAGAGGGAAAGGGAGGGAGAAAGAGAGGGAGAGAAACATTGAAGTGTAAGAGATACATTGATCGGTTACCTCTCGCATGCCCCCAACCGGGTCCTGGCCCACAACCCGGGTATGTGCCCTGATTGGGAATCGTACCTGCAACCTTTCAGTTTGCAGACCGGCACTCAATCCACTGAGCCACACCAGCCAGGGCCTGGCTCCTTTTTAATACAACCCCATCAAAGCTAAAAGCTAAAAGACTGGCAGAGTATATGCAGCTAGGGGGCAAGAGGGCAATGCACCAGATGCTAGAATCAAACCTTATAATGTAGAATTCAGACAACCTGCTCTCTGCCCACAAAGGGACCCAGATAATCCAAACTTGCTCTAGCGACTACAAAGCTGAGAATTCTAGATTAAGCTGTGTAGTCTGACAACTTGTCCACACAACTAAAATTGTTCTGTCAGCATTGTCCAGACAATTTTAAGGACTTACTTGACTTGCCCATTTGTTAAATATTTGTTCCCTGCACTCTGTGACATTGCTAGGAATACGACAGTGAGCAGAACTGAAACGGCCTTGCCTTTATTGACTTACAGTCTAGAGGAGGAGATGGCAATTAGTTGAATAATTATCAAATAAGTGTACAATTATAACCCAGTTAAGTATTACAGAGGAAGCGTTCGTGGTGGAAAAGAGCACTTAAGGAAAATACCGATTTTAGAACGGAATCAGGAAGGTCTGCCCGAGGAGATGACATTTGAGCTGACATCTGAAGAATGAGTGGGAGTTAACTGCATGATTGCAGGGGGGAAGAGCATTCCAGGCCAGAAGAACAGTTCCTGCAAAGGCCCTGGGGTCGGGGGTCGGGGAGCAGGGAGCCTCAAGGAACTGGAAGGAGGAGAATGTGATTAGAGGGCAGAGAGTGAGGGGGTGGCGCTGGAAGGTGAGGCCGGAGCTGGCAAGGCAAAGCCAAGGGGCAGGTGAAGTATTTCTGTGAGAGCAATGGAAGGCGTTTGTGGCACCAAGTGTTAGTTGTCCCCTAATGTCCACTTCCCCTCTGTTCCTAGTATTCACACCCCAGAGTTTTTGGCTCCCCACCTGGCTACCCAATGAAAGACCATATCCCAGGCTCTTTTGCATGTAGGTCTGCCCGTGTGACCAGGTTCTGACTAACGGGTAGTAAGTAAGAAGAAGGGCAAGCTTTTTCTCCTATTTTATTTTCCCCCTATTTTCTTCTCACTGGCTAGAATGCAGACATGGACAGTGGGGGCTGGAGGAGATACCCCAGCCTGTGAGAGGGAAGCCACGTGTTGAGGATGGCAAAGCAACAGGATAGAGGGAAACTGGATGGCCAGCACCACGGAGCAGCCAGAGCAGCCCTGGACCGTTAAACTGACACTGTAAGTGACACATTGATAAACTTCTAACTTCTTTGAACTACTGTTGTTTTGGTCTTTATCACAGAAGTTATACCTATATTCTTAGTGACTACTATGGACTGACTGTTTCTGTTTCCCCCAAATTCGTATGTTGAAATCCCACCCAATGGTATCAGGAGGTGGGGCCTCTGGAAGGTGATTATGTCACAAGGGGAGAGCCCGTGCGAATGGGATTAGTACTCTTACAAAAGAGACTGCCAAGAGCTTTCTTACCCCTCTGCCGTGGGAGGACACAGTGAGAAGATAGTCAACAATAAACTGGGAAGTGGGCTCTCCCTAGACACCGAATCTGCCAGCACCTTGATCTTGGTCTTCCTACCCTCCAGAACTGTGAGCTGGTATTTTTGTTGTAGCAGGCCGAATGGACTAAACGCATCATCGGGATGTTCCAGGTGATGGAGACGGATTTGCATGTTGAGGTGATCACTCTGGCTACAGCGTGTGGAAGGTAAAAGCAGTGAGAACAGCCAGAAGCCATCACAGCCCCCCAAAGAGAGGAGGATGCCTTGTACCTACAGAGGAGCTATCAGGGTGGGGCCTGGCCCGCTGGAACACCTTGTGCCTGGTATAGTGGAAAGAACATGAACTCTAGTCTCAGGGAGAGCTAAGCTATACTCCAAGATGGACTATTCTGTAGCCATGACCTTGGGCAAGTTACTTAGCATCTCATCTGTAAGTTCAAATTAAGATTCTTTCTGTGAGGAGTATGGCAAATTAAAGGCAGCCTTCAGACTTGGACTGCAGTATCAGCTCTTCCCCGGGTCTCCAGCCTGCTCTTCCTCCCCGGAGATTCTGGACTTGCCAGGCTTCATAATCGCATAAGCCGATTCTTTAAGATAGATCTCTCTCTCTCTTTCTCTCCACACACACACACACACACACACACACACACACACGTGCGTGCACATGCAACACACGGACATCCTTTGCTTCTCTGGAGAAGTTCGACTGATACAGAGGTAAACTTTCTACTGATTTATAACGTACATACAACAAAGTGCACATACTCAGCCACCATCCACAAGAAGGTGTATGAGGCCTGTCCAGAAGGTATGCAGCCATGTAATATGAAAAATAGGGACACTTGTGGAAGAAGATAGAAGATACAAGAAACATGGTACACAGGACAATAAGATCTCAGTCCCCTTCAAAGTAGACACCTTGGGACCTCACACAGTTCTCCCAATCGCCATCAGCTGCCCCATCATATTTTCTTGAATATCAATGACAGTCTGAAATCTCTTCCCTTTCGAAGGTGGTATTAATTTTGGGAAAAGCCAGGAGTTGCAGGGCACCAAATCTGGGCTGTAGGCGGGGCTGAGTCACCTGGGCGATTTCATGTTTTGCCCCAAAACTCTGCATGAGACGTGATGCATTAGCAAGCACACTGTTGTGATAAAGCTGCCAATCACCAGTTGCCCATAGCTGTGGCCTTCGGAATCATCTGAATAGTTTCCGGGGTGGAATGTTCAAGTTTAATGCAAAATTCGATGCAGATTTGTTGCTCTGCTCGCTCATTCATTGTGAATGGATGGCCACAAGTATACATGCTCACTCAATGGCGTCCACCACCCCCCACTGACTAGTACATCGAAATTGTTGTTGTTCACACATGCGCGTTCCAGGCCACTCTCCTTGGCTGCCAAGTAACATGATGTCTTGCAAACCATTCATATGAACAATGGCTGGGCTTTTTCTGGACAGACTTCGTATACCTGAAACGAATATAATGTTAGTTATGTTAGCTGATTATTTCTCAATTAAAAACAACAACAACAACACTAAAAGCCCATGGATAACATTTACAACAAAATGAGGTGGCAAGGTATTTCCAGAAACCCCAAAATGCAGGTGGACAAGGACAAGACAACACTACCTGCATGGAGTTGGCATCTGTGCAGAAGAAAGCAGAGAACAGTGAGTTTCTGTGGAAGTGAGAGTAGGGGGACACCGTGATGGCCAGCAGGCGTCCGGGGATCAGTCTGAGAAAGCAGTAGAAGCGGGGAGGGGCTCTGCCTCGCTCAGTGGTGGGTGGGAGCGAGCGGCCTGTGGCCGTGTCTGGAATAGATGAGTGCTGCAGCAGACTGGCCGTCAGGGCTCCCTGCAGGGCAGGCTCTCCCGTGGGGAAGAAAACGCCAGGGAGAAGCAGAACCGAGCAGGACAGAGACAACAAAGACAGAGACGAGACCCGGATAAAAATGGAAAGGTGCGCGGAGCCAAGAAATCTTAGAAAGCGTGCTGCTGTTTTTTCTTTTTTATTGCTACATGAAAATAACAGAAAATGAGCCTCTGTGAAGTTAGAAGCCCTACCCTGGCCTACACTTTCTTCTAAAAGTTCAGGAAAATTAGTTTCGTGTATAAATAAGCAAAGAAAAGTATTGAGGCCAAACCAATTACAGAGTTCTAAGAAAATAAAAAGCAAAACCACAATAATACCTACAGGCAAAGAAAGCATGTCAGAAAGACATGCCCACAAAGCAAATAAAACCTGTAACCATAACTATTTGGGAAGAAGATAAAAGACGTTAAAAATAACACAAGACATAAAAGAACAACATAAATCAAAGTTAGAGAAACTCTGAAATGAGGTAACTCAGAAACGAATTAGAAATGAAAGAAAAAGTAACTTCAGAGGGGAAGGCTCAATTGGAAAAACACTGAAGTGGATTAGTACAGAAGATAATGCCTATAGAGAAACAGGAGGTGAAGAGAAAAAATACATTAAAAATTAAACTGAAATTTTAAAAGATGAAAAGGATTCAAAGAGAAAATTATAAATATTAAAGATAGGCAAGTAAGACTCAACACACAGTAAATAGAAATCTCAGAGGGGAAAACAAGCCAAGGAAACAGAATTAATACGACGAAGAGGCCCACACAGTGAGGAACTGAAACCTCAGACCAAACCTCCGGGAGGACCCGAGGCCTCCTCCTGCCAGCACCCACTCAAGTGAGCTTGGGTGTGGGTCCTCCAGCCCCAGCCACGTCCCCAGATACTGCATTCCTCTCTTCCTGACCTTCACTGTAGCCTCATGAGTGACCCTGAACCAGAAGCATTGAGCCAGGCTACCCCCAAACCCCTGATCTGAGAGGCTGTGAGATAAGTGTTTATCATTTCAAGCCACTAAGTTTCAGAATCATTTTTTAATGCAGTGACAGACAACTAATACAATGGGCATTAGGGTAGCTTCCAGTATGGGACTATTTCAAATACCCCTGCTCTGCACACCCTAACATATGTCTTATGGTGAATATCTGTGCGTTTCTGTTGGATATAAACCTAGAAATGAAAAGCTGGGTCGCAGAATACACAGATGTTAAGCACTAGTAGATACTGCAGAAGTGCTTTCCACGGTGCTCGTATCAATTTACACTCTCGCCAGCAGTATGAGTTTTTGTTACTTACAATCTTACCAACACTTGATGTTTCTGTCTTTTTAATTCTAGCTATTTTAATGGTTTGTGGTGGAATCTCACTGTGGTTGTTTTTTTTTTTTTTAATCCTCACCCAAGGATATGCTTGTTGATTTGAGAGAGAGAAAGGGAGAGAAAGAGAGAAACACTGATGTAGGAGAGAAACGTCGATCTGTTGCCTCCTGGACACGACCCTGATGGGGATGGAGCCCCATCCTAGCATGTGCCCTGACTCGGGACCCCACAGCCTTTTGGTGTGTGGGGACAGCACTCCAATTGACTGAGCACCTGGCCAGGGCCTCACTGTAATTTTAATGGACATGTTTGTGGTATCTAATGAAGTTTAGCACTTTTTCAAAAGCTTAATGTCCATTTAGACATTTCCATCTATAAATCACTTGCTCAAGCCTTGGTTGGTGTGGCTTAGTGGATTGAATGCCAGCCTGCAAACCAAAAGGTCACTGGTTTGATTCCCATAGGGCACATGCCTGGGTTGCTATTCAGGTCCCCAGTAAGGGGCGCATGAGAGGCAACCACACATTGCTGTTTCTCTCTCTCTCTCCATCCCTTCCCTTCTGTCTAAAAATAAATAAAAGCTTACAAAATAATGGGGCAACTATAATAGCATAATCAATAAAATATACTTTTAAAAAATTTAGTTGTCTATCTTTTTTTCTGATTATTCTGTTTATCATTCTGACTTGGCAACAGTTCAGATTAATATAGTATAGTTTTATTTGTATAGAGTTAAAATATGAATAACTGTCTTTCAGTGACGGGATATACAAATATAAGAGTAGACAGACAGACAGACAGACAGAATTCTAAGATGGCCTCCTTGGTCCCTCTTTCCCGTGTTACTCCCATTAACATGTAATGTTATGTTGCAAAGGGGATTTTTGCAGGTGTAATTGAAGGTACTAATCAGCTGACTTTACCATAGGGAGATTATGTGGGTGAACCCAACCTAGTAATATGAACTGTTTAAAAGCAGGAAGTTTCGCCCTGGCTGGTGTGGCTCAATGGACTGAGTGCTGGCCTGTGAGCCGAAAGGTTGCCGATACTAGAGGCAACCACTCCATGTATCCCGTGCACATTGATGTTTCCTTCTCTTTCTCCCTCCCTTCCCCTTTCTCTAAAAATAAATAAATAAAATCTTTAAAAGCAGGAAGTTTTCTCTAGCTGGTCACAGAAATGGAAATAAGAGACATTCCTAGTGTAAGAAGGATTCTCACACGATCAGTAATTCATACAATTACTGATGTGTGACCTCCAGGAGCCAAAAGCAAACCCCGACTGACGATCTGCAAGGAAAGGAGAGCTTCAGTCCTGCAGCCACCAGGAACTGCTGACAACCTAAGTGAGCCTGGAAGCAGACCCTTCTCCAGAGCTCCCCAATAAGAGCCCTGCCCTTGGTTTTGGCCTTGTGGAATTCTAAGCAGGGAACCAAGCCAAGCCTGTCTGGGCCTCTGACCTACAGAAGTGAGTTTATAAATGGATGTTGTTTAATCCTCTAAAGGTATAAGTTTATGGTAATTGTTACAATAGCAGTACAATACACAGGTTTACTTAACCAGAATCTACATAGGTAGTAAAAGAGTAAAACAATATATGAAAAGGATAAACACCAAATGTAGAATATTGGTTATTCTGTTGGGGGGCTGGGGATAGGAAGAGGAGATTACTGAGAAGGCGAAGGTAAGAGGGTCAAAGTGTGTAAGGTAGTATTTTCTTATTTTAGCTAGGTGGTAAATATGTTTAATTTTTTAGACCTTTTAATATGTCTCACATATTGCATAACAATTTAAAAGACTCCTGATCCTCAGCCACTGCCTGGAAACAGTAGAGATGCCAAATTTGAGGGGCCCTTCAGACCTGGACAATGAGTTCCCCCAACGGACTGTGCCAGACACCTTCTGTTTTGTAATGTCATGTCATGTAATCTTGGAAGGAGGATGGAGTCCCCATAAAAACTAAGATTGAATTTCCTTCTGCCCCAAAGGACTGGGCTAGAAATTGGATTGAATTTAACCAAAAAGAAAAAATTTCCTGGCTGGCGTAGCTCAATGGATTGAGCGCGGGCTGCGAACCAAAGCATCGCAGGTCCGATTCCCAGTCAGGGCACATGCCTGGGTTGCAGGCCACGGCCCCCAGCAACTGCACATTGATGTTTCTCTCCCTCTTTCTCCCTCCCTTCCCTCTCTAAAAATAAATAAATAAATAAAATCTTTTAGAAAATCTAAAAAAAATACCAACACATTTTTAAACAAAATAGAATCCGAAGGGGAAAAAAAAGAAAAAATTTGCTATACACTCAAATCTGTGGACTGAATGAATGAATGGAAAGATGAGTTATGAATAGATGCCCAAATACCCGTAGAATCATCATCAAAATTGTATACCTGGGCAACAGAGTGAGATAGGAAAATGTTCCATTGCAGAATATAA